ATTATTTATTTTATTATTTTTTTTTTTTAACCTGCAATCAAATTAGTAAAGGAGCAAAATATTATTTCCTAGGTTGCATTTAGAGAAATAGTTTTTCGACGATGAGTGAGTTAGTATATGAAAGTCACAATAATTTGTAAATACCTAGCATATATACAATAAAGATATGCCATGCTAATTTGATTGCAGGTTAAAAAAAAAAAATAATAAAATAAATAATCTATATTTAAGAATTGTTTAAAGTTATATTATATGTAAAAATAGATTTTTAAAAGGAAAAACAGAAACAAAAGTTAAATTAATAATCATAAAAAAATTATTAAAATAATTTTTTAATATCAAAACTTTTAATTTATAATATTTTTTGAATCTTGTTTTTATTAAATTAAAGAGTTATAAATTTTATTTCGCAAAAAAAAAGAAATAAATAATTTATAAAATTTTATATATTAAATATTTTAAAAACTTATTATTATTATATATATCTGAATCTATTATTTTTATTTAAAACTCTTTTTAAAATAATTAAAGATATAGACTTAATTAAAAATTCAATAGCAATTAGTTACTTTGATATTTATTTTTCAAAGAATTAATTATTTATAATATTAATTCACAAATGATTTTTGATTTTTTTGCAATTCATTAGAATATACTGTATATAAAAATTTTTTTAAGTTTTATTCATTAGTAAAGACAAATATCTTTTGATAAAAGCAGAAATAGGTTTTGTAATGTAAACATTGACTTAATTCAGTGTAACCCTTTGTACAGTGTATTTACTATTTTTATTTGTTTGCTTTTATCGTTTTTTCCTATAGTTTAAAATGATTGGTCAGATTAATTTTAGATTATCTACTAAACGAAAAAAAATGTAGACAGACAAGAGCGACCGTTTTATGTTAAGAACACCATGGCTTCCATTCTTGACAAGATCGCAAAATTGGCCATTCCGATTGGCGCGGCTGCTACCATGGTTCAATATAGCATGTTTGACGGTAATGAGCATATTTCTTCCCAGGATATTTCTAAAAAAAAAAACGCTTAAAAATTAATATACTCTCATACAGTACAGGGTGGCTATCGTGCGGTGGTATTTGATCGTCTCAAGGGTGTCAAGGAAACACCGATTGGCGAGGGCACGCATTTCCGTATACCTTGGCTGCAAAAAGTGGTGCAATATGACGTTCGTATCAAGCCTCGAAATATATCTACGACGACGGGATCAAAGGACATGCAAATGGTCAGCTTGACATTACGCGTTCTTCACCGGCCAGTGATTGATCAATTACCGCACATTTATCAAACTTTGGGAGAGGATTATGATGAAAGAGTTTTGCCGTCAATTGGCAACGAAGTATTAAAATCCGTGGTTGCACAATTCGATGCTGGAGAATTGATTACTCAACGTGAAGTGGTACGCATGTTTTCATCAATTATTATTCGCGATCCGTACAACTGTTGATAGTTTGATCCATTAGGTGTCTTCAAAAATAAGAGAAGACCTTGTGAAAAGAGCTCACGAATTTAATATCGAATTGGAAGACGTATCAATTGTGAATATTTTGATTTTCATTTTTCTGCTGTTATTTAAAGTAATGAATGAACATTAACCGGTTGCATTTTAATTATTTTAACTAGACCCATATGACCTTCGGCAAGGAATTTACAAACGCCGTCGAGCAGAAGCAAATTGCTCAGCAAGAGGCGGAGCGAGCAAAATTCATTGTGGAGAAGGTAGAGTGTTTTTACTCGATTGTTTTGAGATATAGTACATGTAACCGTTGATTACTATGTACGAAAAATGGCTAATTAGGCCGAGCAAGAGAAGCAAGCTTCAATCATCAGAGCTGAAGGCGAAGCTGAAGCCGCGGATAGAATATCCAAAGCACTTGACAAAGCCGGCGAAGGTCTTGTATTGCTGCGTCGCATAGAAGCATCAAAGGAGATCGTCGGAACATTGTCGAATTCACGTAACGTGACATACTTGCCCGGTGGTGGACAACAAGGAGGTTCCAACTTATTACTGAATCTTGGGGTGTGAGAATTTTGTGATGCAATCTTAAAAAGCTTTGTAGATAGGATAGCAATGTCGGGTTGTTCTTTTGCGAAAATGAGCTAGTTCCGCGAAAAAATGAGTAAAATCGAAGTGTTCGAGTTTCACAAAAATTAGTGATATTTTAGAACCATCTACCTTTACGATCTGTTAGCCGAGGGATTGTATGACGTAGGATTAAAGATAAAAAAACACCAACGCAGAGTTATCGTTGGAACAAATATCAGAGCAATGGAAATTGCAAAAGAAAAGGGATTTATTTATTGACGTCGTGGGACAAAAAAAAAAAAAAAAAAAGTAAAAAAAAATCAATAGGATGCAATTATTAATTATTAAAATGAACACGCATACAAAATACGTTATTATCTCGGCATTACAATAAAAATATCTATATACAATTAACATTTTGTGTCTTTACTATCGTACACCAGATTTCAAATTCTGAAAATTGTACCGACAAAGAATATAAACTACATAAATATGTCAAGTTTTCAAGAAAATGCTGTATATAATTGAATAGAGAATAATCGTTTGGAGTTAAGAATAAAAAATCAATTTAACTGTGAAAGTGATTACGCACATATAAACATTCGCGCAGTGATAATCCAGGTACAACTAGATATTTGTCCCAGGATGGCAATCGACCTTTCAAGGATTCACATCGTCGTATCTTTTAAATACTGCATGCATAATTTGTTCGGATATTCCCGGATTTTCTCTTTCACAATCCTCAAAAGCCTTTTTCAAGACATCCAAAGTAAACACGGCTTTCTGGGAAGGTGCTTTCCTTTTTAACTGATGAATAGAAAATATATATATGTATGTATGTACTAGATAAAAAAATGTGGAAAACAAACAATTAAAGCCAACATACCTTCTCGATCGAGGGAACAATGACTTTTTTGAAAACGGCAGGACCAGTCACCGAGGATTCAGTGTAAATCTCATCATAATCATCTACTCTAACCACACGTTTAACTGTTTCGTAACCGGAATCATTAGCCTTCATTTTCTAGTCGTTATCAACATAAATCACAAATTAGAAGAGCTGTTAGACAATATATCAGAGCGAATAGCAAGATTCATACCATACGCACCGTTGCTTGTTTCCCTTTTGCAGGTCCAATTGTGGCATTATCTCCTGAATATTCGCCATCAGATGAGGTAGGGGTAATCTGCCCCGGAAATTCCCACGTGGGGTCTTCGCCGTCCTCGACACTAATTTTGAGAAATCAAGTTTAATCCGGTGAAGGTGGAGCCAAATTAAAAGCCAAGCATACCCGTTCTCTGAGTGATCCGACTCCTCCGAATCGTTCTTCCCACCACCCTCCGCCAGCCATCGTTCGTGCCGTTCAATTAATTCTGTTAAGTAAGAAGTTTTCTTGGCGCCACGGATAAATCTATGCTTAAGCAATTCTTTTGCTGATGGTCTCTGGAATTTTATTATTATTATTTTTTTTCAGCGCATATAATGAGAAAAATTCGAATGAAACAGGCGTAAAAGGCGCATACATACATTATTCGGATCTTTTTCTAAGCATGATGCAACAAAATCCTTGAACGCTTTGGGAAAAATGACCTTCTAATGTAGGCGCTTGATTTTTGGGAATAAGGAAGAGAACTTTCATTGGATGAAGTTCCGCATACGGAGGTTCACCTTTAGCAAGTTCTATGGCAGTTATCCCCAAAGACCAAATATCCGCCTAAAATGAAAAGCGATTAAAAAAACATCGCAGTCAAGAGAGTCCAGCTTTCCTAAATCACACCTACCTTAAAGTCATACCCGGATTGTTTGATGACTTCGGGTGCCATCCAAAACTATAATAAAGAAAAAAAAAATCATTATTATTATTTTTTTTTTAGGGAAAATTTCAAGGACAAGGACGGATGAAAAAACCGTACCGGCGTTCCGACAAAAGTATTTTTCTTCCTCATTGTTGCCGTAATCTGTGATAACAAAATTTCTTAGTATGGTGTCGATGTAATCATGTTAAATAAAATAACCGTACAAACCTGTCCTGACACTCCAAAATCCGCCAATTTTACTATTATTCAAATGCAAAATGTAGTCTCATAAAAAAAAAAAAGACATCTCAAATTAGATAGTAATCTTTATGCAAAATGCTACATACCATCGCCTGTGGAACTTAAAAGAACATTTGCAGCTGCAAAATTACAAAAAGTTAGACCAGATCAAGGGCAGCAATTGTCATTGAGGATAGTTGAATGCAACTTCTAACCTTTCACATCTTAAATCCGATGCGTTCAATTTTCATATGGTCAGTAATCTCTCAGACCTGCATCCGAAAAACAAAGGATACACCAACCTCGGTGAAGTTTATCTTCCGTATGAAGATAGTCCAAGCCCTTAAGTAGTTCTCTTAATATGATTGATATATATTCTTCTTTGAAAACTCCCGGTTTCATCTGCACACACATAAGGATCATGAGATAAATTCACGATCGAAGGTAACGAAATTTTCCACACACATACCAAATCTGAGCAAGATCCTCCTGAACAGTATTCCATAATAATCCAAAGATATGTTCCTTTAAGAAACGAGCTATAGTACCTTCAGGGATTAATGATTATTATTGTAAATGGCAATTGTGACGTATAGATGATCACGGAAAACAGAAAGATTAGAGCCCCAAGTACCTTGTGACATACTGAGAATCCAATTGCGACAGAATAGCTATTTCTTGTTGAATATCTTCGATCTCATCTTCAGCGCTCTCGAGGTCGATAATTTTGATGGCCACCGGTGATTTGGTTTTCTTGTCATATCTGATTTTAAAAATAAAATAAAAAAGAAGAAAGTTCAATCGATTTCATAATCCGAATTATTTGCAAGACGCCGATTAATGAACCGCCCTCCATCCGGTTTACATAAATCACTCAAGAATAACGCGTATATTCACAAATTTTGGAGGAAGAGATGGATTTTTTCTTCTAAGAAGCACCTACCCCTTGAAAACCTCGCCGAAAGATCCTTTGCCTGTTTCATAATTCAAATTTCAAAGTCAGCTGTTGTTTCATTGTTAAAGTTAATAACATTATAATTTCTCTCTCACAAAGGAAAAAAAAAAGAAAGAAAGAGAAGAGAAGAGAAGAAAAGAAAAAGAAAGCTGGGTTATATTGAACAAAAAAAATCAAAACCAGTTTAGAAATTCATCTAACGATGAATTGTTCACCTCACCTATCCTATCTTGTTTAATGTAGTAATCCTCGGGATCAGCTTGGTTCGAAACGCTCTTTACAAGGAATCGGGTTAAATACGCATACAGGTAAATATGAATAGAAATGGGAGACATGTGGTAAAAGTTGTGGCAAAAACATTTTGTTGATTTCTTGGGAAAAAGGTATTCTGCTACTTACCATCGTAATTTTTGGGAGAGAAACGTATTGAAATTCGGCGGATAGATGAAATAACTAAAATTTTAACCGGAGGAAATGATGTTTTAATATTAACGCGTGAGATGAAAATTTTCTGAGAAAGGTTGTGAGAAAGAGGAATCAGTTCCTCAATCTGCGCTGAAGTAAATTAGTAAATTCTCAAATCATGTAATTGATAAACTTTTCCTTTTTTGTCAAAGATGGAATGTTGGATTAAAGGAGTATTAAGGGGAGCATAGCACAACATGTTCGGTGGAATTGTAGAATTTATGATAGGTTTTCTATGCACGTAACTCAAATTAAACAATTTAGCTAGTATCAACGTTGTACGTACGCACATACACTCACGTTATGAATCCGAGAACTGGGATTGAAAAAAGGATTTTTTTTTTTCTGTGCACGTGCGTAAATAGGTTAACTTGTTCAGGTGAATTCGTGAGGATGCCAAAAGCAAAGCCCACACGTTCTTCAAAGCGTTCCGATAAAAAAGACTACGAACGATCCTCAGGAAAAAAAACCAGCAGTGGAAGCGAAACAACTCGGAATTCTACTCCTACCACCCCGAAAACTTCCGAGATCCCGGGAACTGAATCTGTCACTGGCAAAGATATTATCATAATTGCTGGCAGTTACGAAAAGTTACTGTACGGTATAAATGGTCATTGGCTTAGAGCAGGGGATGATGGATATGAACAGGTAGGTATGTTGGGAAATTTTCGACAAAATTTGCTTAACCCCAAAGTAACCTATCCTTCGAAACGAAGGACAAACCTTCATTGCGACTCGAGCCGATCTTTATCTTTCCTGCTCATAGTGGGTGCATCAAGACAGTTGCCGTTGGTGGCAGACATCTAGCCTCGGGGAGCACCGACGAAGTAATCAAGTGAGTAGATTCTTCATTGTTTTACTCAGATATACCAGGCAATATTAGGAAGAACAAGACATCCATCCTGTGAATAAATTCCGATCAACTAAAACACTTTTTGTTCGATTTTATGTGGTAGACTTTATGACATCAAAAAGCGTAAGGAAGTTGGTTCTTTATTGCAACATGAAGGTTCAATAACCACGCTTCAATTTTACGGCAAGAGTCATATGTTAAGCGGAAGTGAAGATGGCACTATATGTATCTGGCGAACAAGAGATTGGGAATGTTTGAAAACTCTAAAAGGTCACAAGGGACGCGTGAATTATCTGAGTGTCCACCCCTCGGGTAAAATGGCGTTATCGGTATCCATCGATAAAACTGTGCGATTATGGGATTTGCTGGTGGGACAGAAGGCGAGTGTTATCAACCTTGGAAGAGGTATCTATAAGGTCTACGATGTTTTTATTATTGTTATTTTTATTTATTTATTTTTTTTGGAGGGGGGATCCTTCGATCATCATCAAACGTGTAAATCCTACTTCCTTTTAGAGGGAGAAGTTGTTTTGTGGAGCCCATCGGGTGAACAGTACGCCATTCTGACAACGCACGAGATCGTGTTATACAACATTTCGGTAGGAACGCGAATGCCGTGTCGCCTTTTGCCTGAAGCTTAAATGGGATTCGCGAAATTAATTCCTCTTTTCCTTTCCTTTTTTTTTTTATCGCACGATTAGGACGCGAAAATTGCACAAAAATTTCAACTTCAAAATTCACGGTACCTTTGCATGCAATATCATACACACGAGAGTCTAGGAGATTTGTTGATTGCTGGATGCGAGGATAAGACCGTGAGGATATATGATATCAAAAGAGGAGATTGCATCGCAAAATTAATGGGACACAAAAATCGGTATTTTTGATAATCTCTTTTTTTTTTTCTTTATTTTGATCGTCTCGGGATTTTCACCGCTCACGACAACTCACCTCCATCGATCTTAGGATCAAGAGTATGTCCAAAATTCATTCCGCACCACCTAACCATCCAACTCCCGTTGCTCTTTTAACATCCATTTCTTCCGATGGGGTCATCAACATCTGGAGTTTGGACGAAATTTTGGCGAAAAAAGGTCAGACAGAACCCCTGACATCATATGACACCAGGAGTAGGTTAATCTGTGTAACATGTCACGAGGACCCTGGTCAAAAATTTCGTTAGACCTTTGATCTTACATCTGTTATTTAGAAACCGTCTAAATTCCTGATATTTGTGAATTTGTCAAATAAAAATCCGATTCGTGTCATTAAGTTCATTAGAAAGAGTAGGTGCACACCTAACCGGTGCGAAAATAAAATAGAATAGATGAAAATAAAGTAAAATATAAAATGAATTGGGAAGTGCTGAAATTTTTGATTTTATTAATTTGTTTTCGAGCCATGACGGTTTTGACCGTCTGGGGCCCACTTGAGGCCGCAGATGTCAAACATCCTATTGTCAAGTCTCACACCGTGGCTCCTTATATAGTTGTCAATCATTCGGCGTGAGATGCAAATGATGTGATGGTGCACATGTTGCGTAGATTCCTCGTCGCGTCGCATATCTGTTTGTTGATTATTACTCTTATTTTCATCATGGTCGAAGAGTCTTTCGCCGTCACCGGTATCAAGCCCGACACCGTCATTGTTAATTGAGTTGTTGATCGTCCCAAGATCAACTTTGGGATTTCTGTATTTGAGAAAGTTCATCTCGCGCAGTGCGTACGTGACGTCATCCTGACGAATGCTCGTCTTCTGGGAAATCTCGTTAATGGAAATCATAAACTTTTCGTTAGGGTTGTGCGATTCGTCAACAATGTCCGCCGAGGTCTCTCGTTTAAGTGTGCCGACCGTGTGGTTCTGAAGAATTCGTAGAATTGTGCGTTTCCAATATGAGCTATATCCCTTGATGCCCAAGTCTGATATTGGTCGTTCCGGTGTCCCGATCTTCTGTTCTTTCTTGGAAAGTTCGTAGCCTTATCAAGGAAACCTTTGTGAGAAAGGATGATTTAACGAACATGTGGAACTTCCCGATGCAAAACTTACTGAATTCTATCAAGAGCTGACCATATCCGCGTCGTTGATAGGGTGGGAAGACGAGTATGCAAGCCAAATTATAATTATCATACGAAATTTTCTCCTGAAACATTGTTATTAAAAGGAATATCACGGATGCTTAATAAAGGAAAGAAAGATTAATAATTTTCAAGATCTCACCGTTCACACCTTAATTTCCTATACCTTGGAAAAATATCCGACCACGTGTTCTTCATTTCGATCGTCGATCTCGGTCAGGATGTAGAATAAAAATGACTCGACGTCATAGTATATCGTTTTGTGATCGACAAAGAATTTTGCCAGCAGGCAAAAATTCTGACAGTAGAGCTTGGATGAAGGAAAAATCATCGCTGAGTTTATCTGAGAAGACATTCGAAAGCGAACGAGAGGAAATTAATTCACCTTGTGTGACCTTCCATCCATCTCGTAGATCCTGTTCCTCCCCATCTCATATATCTTGACGCCTGGTGGATGTTTCCATTCGCACAAAGACTATTTCAAACAAATTTCATTAAGATGCGAAATAATGAGATTATTCTGAGACACTGTTACTTACACACCGATTAGTACTATTTTAGAATCACTGACCGTGTGCCGGCCGTACGTTTCCTTCACTCTCATGTATTTCATGCATTGTTGGCATACGTATATCTTTTTGACGGTCTTGTATTCGTCGGGGAAAGGTGAATAATACCAAGTCGCTATCTCGTATTTCCCGAATACCACCGCTTCTATGTTCCTGACCTTCGTGTAACGAACGTGTTCCATTTCGAGTAGAGCTTGAACCTTGGATGGCTGTTCTTGTGCATGAAGTGAAGAAGATACATCCTGCCTCTTCGAAGAGAACGGTTGAATTTTAGTTTATTTATCGACAAAGAGAAACTTGTCTCAACTTGCCCATAGGCGTTGAAAAGTAAAAAAAAAAAAACCTTATCACTTTCTTCTTTGGTACAATTGACAAGTTTTCTTTTTTTCGCAATACGAACCGACCGCGTATACTCGCCTTCCTCCTCGCTTTCAGATTTACGTTTCGCCCTGTTTTGTTTTGTTGTTGGCGCGGGTGATCCGTTTATCAAAGCTACGGAATTATTGGAATTAGGAAATACTATTCTTTGGTCAATCTTGTCGGGTGATACCCATTCGTCAAGACGACGGTCGACTATTTTCGTGTAAATAAGAGATTCGAGTTTATATAGATTTCAAAGCAGGTTTCCCGTAACATGACGGAAATGATTTTATCTTACATTCTGTATAATGTACGTAGTACTCCCACAACGAGGACTCTTCTATGTATCTCTTTTCAAGAATTTCGGCTTTGTCTGTTATCAAAGCGGATAAAAAAAACCTTTATTCGTATCTCTTTATTCTATTAGCTTAAATCATTATAATGTTTAAAAGGTATAGCAGCGTCGAGAAGCAAGAGAGAGGGTTGAGACGATAGAACTCACAATATTCGCTTTTCCTCTGAACCAAGTGAAAGGAACCAATTTCAAAGGGTGTTCTTGATTCCGAAATGTTTGTCATTATCAGGAATGAAAGGTTCAAGTCGCGGAATTGTTCGAAGCGATTCCAATTATAGTACCCTAAATTGCAACCGCATTTTCAAATAAACTACGTCATGAGATTTATTAACACTGAATCAAGCAGACAAATGATGCGTGTTACGCGATATACAAAAAATGATCGGCACGTCGGCGCACACTGATTTTAATAGGAAGTCAAAGCTCCAACTCAATGTGTCGCAATTTAAATCATAAATATTTGTTCAACAAAACCATTTGACAAATAAAATAAACATCAGGTCCGATGACAATTTTTCGCAAAAAAAAATTTTTTTTCACACACAAGACGTTATACATGCATGCATGCTTGTATGTTACAAGGTGGTAGACTCTCCATCTTCGATTATTTTAATTTCTCCAAATTAGCAAATTTTGGAATATTAACTTTTTCCTTTGTTTTACAGTGAAGCTATCAATTTAGGTGAAAAAGTTGTCATCACCACCACACATAAGAATCGAATTATTTCGTTAGCCCTTTGAGAAAAAAAAGAAATGATTAAATCGAAAATTATCACGAATTTAACTTGGAAGGGATTTAGGATCTTCTCTTCTCGGCTGCTTTCTGTAATATATGAGTAATAAAGTTAATATTTAATAAATTATGCGTACGAAACTTACTTCGTCGGTTGAGAAGATAACAAAAAAAAAGTTCAATAATAGTAATTTACGCACGGATAAAATGTCACTAAACTCTTGGTATGGTGACTGTTTAAGATCTGTCTCCTTCCACAAGTTGGGAGTCAGGAAGGCGTAGGTATTGCCGATGGCAGCAAAAGTGGCCTTTACAAAGTTACCCAAAGTACGAGTGGAGCCACGTGACGTGGTGTAACAGTCGGTGATGCCTGCCAGTTGTAGAAGCTTTTTGGGCGTGGGCGCAGCTACAATTCCAGTACCACGAGGAGCAGGGACAAGGCGGCATATAACGGAACCACATCTGCCAGTGACCTTGGAAGGAACCGTGTGTGGATCACCAATTGTGGAACCCCAGTATCCACGGCGTACAGGAATGACGGAAAGTTTTGCAAGAATGATAGCGCCACGAATGGCGGTGGCGACTTCTTTTGAACATTTAACTCCAAGACCAACGTGTCCCTTGGTATCGCCGATTACGACAAAGGCCTAGATAAAAATTTGATTGGGGTGGTTCTTAGAGGCAATTTTTTTTGCATGAAATATGTTTCATCAGTATGATTAATAGTAAACCTTGAACCGAGTTCGCTGACCAGCACGAGTCTGCTTCTGAACAGGCATGATCTTCATGACCTCGTCTTTCAACGGCTCTTTGGCGAGTTGGTCTACAATTTGATATTCTTTAATTGGAAGGGAGAATAAATATATATCTTCAAGTGACTTGATCTTGTTTTCTTTGACCAAACGACCAAGTTTAGTAACGGGAACCCTGAAATACATATATCAATTATTTTTTTCAAAAAATTTTTTTTCCTACTCAAGAACCATCATGTCAAGTTTAAACATTACCATTCTTTATCTTCGTCCTTGCGGGGATTACGACGAGCACCGCGACCTCGTCGACCTCTGTCACCGCGACGTCCGAAACCACTACGTCCTATAATTTCCGGTCACGGAAAAAAGGTGGTTATCAATTAAATATTCCAATATGGATCAACAACCTTATTGCTACAGATTGTGAGCCTCTTCGGGAAGAACTTATAGTGACACTTTTCGATTCACGAAACACGTGTTTCCTCCCAGGTCAAAAACTAAATTTTTGAAGCTTACCACCACGACTATCGGCCGGTCCTGAGTCAGCCATGTGCTATGGTGAATATTTGGGATTTCAAGACAGTAATAAGGGTGTTAGGGTAGCCACTCAAAAATACAGCAAAAAAAAAAAAAAAAAAAAAAAAAAAAGAAGAAAAAAAAAAGAAAAAAAAATGTATGTAGAGGATTGAGACTGAGATAAATGGTAATTCGAAATATAATGACAGATTTGACTGAAAATAAAAAACGTCATTATATAGTAGCACAGACGGATTGAATACTCACATAATCTTAAATTTGGATGAATTTTCCTTTGGGTGGAGATTCGAAAGAAGAAAGTTTGATCTTAAAAAGAGTTTTACTTTATATTTCTGGTTACGTCACCTTGTCTTACGTGTTACGAATGAGTCATTAGCTCAAACCCGAATTAATTGGCTAATCTGATAATATAAGAGGAAGGTAATGTCATATATTATTAATTCTTATTATTTTTTATTATTATTATTTTTTTTTTTAATCCACAATTATGCCATTATGGTTTGTCTTTATTGAGTAATTAAAGTAAATCTATTAATTTATAGATTTTCACAAAATGATTAACCCATCTTCATACATAAATATTCTAAGTTAGATTTTGAAAATAATATTATACTCTTCTGATAGATAGTATTAATCTCTATCTATCAGGATTATTGCCAACAGTTTGTCACTGTTTATTGTTCAAAAATCAATGAATTGTTAAGTTAAAAAGGGGAAAGAAGTAAATGATTGGAGGAAAGAAAAATTCAAGATCTATAAAAAAAAATTCAAAAATAAAAACAATCTTTTTCAAAAAGGATTTACTTAATTGAAATAGTCTTCTTACTTCATTTGAACCTCAAAAGAAATCTTTTTTTCACTATCTATGACATTGAACAGGTTAATCCAATTAGTTATTCATTTAAGTGAGCATTAGATTGAGATATCACAAGGAAAATATTTAGACCTTAGCTTTTTTCTATTAAAACTATATCACAACTTGAGAAACTTAGATAAAAGATAGAAATTTGTAATCCATATTATCTATCACTTGATTTTTTAATATTATGGAAGTTTTCATTAAAGGACTTGAACTTTTGGAGACAAATATTTCCAGAACCTTCTTTCTAATCATCAATAATATTACCAGAACATATGAATATGATCAATAGAAGTTTGTTTATATCAAACAATTAATATATTTTATGTTAACCAATTACCTTTGGTAAAGGTTTGTATTACTCAAAATTTAGAATCAAACTGAGGTAGGCAAAATTTCCTTTTCAAACAAAAACTTGACTTTTGGTAACCAAGAAAAGTCAAGAAACACTTTTTTTACTTATGACAAGAAAGTTTTAAAAGGAAGAAAAACCAATAGTGAAGTACTGAAAGCTTATCTTCTGAAGTAAGAGTGCAACTAGAGGTTTTTTGCAGTAGGTAAACAGGTGAACAAAATTCTAAACCATAAAAATTTCATTTCCATTCTTTTTACTCTTTTAAAGTTGCTTATTTTTCAGAGTTTTTTGGAGAATTTTACCTACCCCAGTTTGACCCTGAATTTTGGAGTGATACAAAATCAACATAGCTTTTGCTAAAGGTGATTGATTGATATGAAACACATTGGTATCAGAATATAAACAAGCTCTTACTGATTACATAACATGTTCCGATGACGTCATTGGTAAAAAAAAGAGTGACCACTGGTACAGACTCCTCCACTCTTCCAAATGAAGTATAACTGAAGTAAAGAAATCATGAGGCTATTAGAATGGATACTAAATTCCCTAGGTGATGAAAATATAGTTATTTGTTCATATAAAGATCTTAAACTTCTTATCATATTAGTCAGGCAAAGTACACGAAAGAGGTTATTTCCTTATCCTGATCAGGCTGTAAGATTGAAAAACAGAAGAATATAAAACACTGCCCTTCTTTAGAATTAAGAATATATTTTTTCAAACATTGTGTAATGATATCATAATTGATGAGGATCCTGGTACTAGTCAAAAACCTTATACTATTACAAGGCAAAAAGATTTATAGGGGATCTGACTTTTTTGGTAATGAAAGATATACATTAGTAAAATTTCTTTAACTAGGCGTGGCTGCTGAAAGATATCAGAAGTTAAATAACAAGACTAAAAAACCATATAAGAATCTGGGATCCATCATTAGTCATTTTTTTCAGTGTAGGTGAATATAAATCAAGATCAAAAGAAAGGAAGTATTGAACAAGATATTGGATTCGAGTAAGCAATAAGTACCTCAGACTGTTATAAGAAAATAATCAAAATCACAGATAGATAAGTTTCTCAGACAGTTAGAAAGAAGAATGATATTCCAGAAAGGTTGACTCCCAATAAGAAGAGGTTTTTAGTAGAAATTCTTTGGAGGATATGGATACTTTTATTTTTTCTTTTTCTTTTTTTATTTTCATATAAACACAATTGTGCATTTTTAGATATCTCCTTTCTTTTTTTTTTCTCTTTTTTCTTTTATAGTTTCTCAAAATCAATTCTTTGAAAGATAATAAGTAGTGACAACCTGCTGACAATGATAGGTAAGTTAGGAGGATATATATCCAAAACTTAGTTCAAAGTGAAATATTATTTCCAAGATTATATTTAGAGGTTAAAACTCATTTGAGAATTGAAAACCATTGACGAATGTGTCAGTACAAGTTTTTAATTTAGCCATGATACAATTGTCTTATAAATCTCTATCAGTTTTCATATTGATTAATAAATACACAGTTCTGACCTAACTATGGATTTAAAAAAAAAAATAATAATAGGTTGTCTTTATTAAGAAATTAAAATAAAATTTACAATGGTTTATAGACTTTTATAATATAACTAACTTATCTTTATATATAAGTACTCTAAGTCAGATTTTGAAAACAATATTATATTTCTTTGATAAATTAATTATAATTTTTATCTACTAGAATCATTGCCAACAATTTTTTACTATTGATTAATCCAAAAATCAATAAATTGCTAAGTTACAAGAAAAATAAGAAAAATGAAAAAAAAAAGGGAACAATTCAAGACATATTAAAAAAATTAAAAATTAAAACAATCTCTTCTCAAAAAAATCTATCTAATTAGAATAGTTTTCTTGCTTTACTTAAATCTTGAAAAGAGTCTTCTTTGTTATTATTTGTAGTATTGAATTAATCAATCCAACCAGTTTTTTATTTAAGAAAGTATTAAATTAGTATACAGTATCTTAAGAAAAGCATTTAGATTTTAGTTTTTTTTCATTAAAATTTTATCATTACCTATGAAATTTAAATAAGAGATAGGAGTCTACAATATATATTATTTATCACCTAGATTTTTGATGATATAAATATTTTTATTAAAGAACTTGAGCTTCTGAAAACAAATATTTCTAAAACATTCTTTATAAATATCAATAATATTAATAAAACATGTAAGTGTGACAAGTAGAAGCTTGTTTATATTTTAGAAACTAATATATTTATATTAGGCAATTCTCTTTAATAAATATTTGTGCTTTCAAAAATTTTAAATTAAACTAAAGTAAACAAAATTCCCTAGAAAATCATAAAAGTGAAAGCTCTAAAAAAGTAAAACAATTTAAAAGGAAAAAAATTAATCTTTTAACTATAAAAAACTACTATAAATCTCTTGCTTCAAAAGTTAAAAGAGTTTTTAAATATTTTACAATTAATTTTCTTTTTTTAAAAACTTTCTTACTATTAATATAAAAGGTGTTACTTGATTTTTCTTAATTACTGGAAGTCAGATTAAGTGAAAAAATTTGTAAACAATAAGAAAAAGGTAAAGTCAAACTTTAAATTGTTTTAAGAAAAGTATTGAGACTTTATTAGCAAAGAAGTGAAAAACTTTATATGAATATCTTTTTTGTATGTAGTCAAAGAATCAGCAAAAAAAGTTTATAATATATAATATATAATTTATATTATTATTATTATTATTTTTTTTAATCTGCAGTCAGGTCAATATGGCTTGTTCATTTTATTGTAAACATATTTGATATTTATATATTTTATGATTTTTATATATTGACTCACCCATCTACAAAGTTTAACCTTTTCTGGATGCAACTTAGGAGATAATATTTCACTTCCTTTATAGCTTGAATTATCCTCTAGCCACTCAAATTATTGCCTACAGCTCATTACTGTAGATCTCCCAAAGTTCTAATTGTGATTAAAAACCAAACCATTTAAAACCTTTAGATATCCAACTATTTATTATATTTATTATATTGCCTTGAGACTTCATTTATTCTGAGTTTTCTTTTTTTTCTGTTATACTATATTTCTAAAGGGACAAATAGAGAAATGATTGGCTTTCTTAAGTACTTGATCCATTTTTTTAGTTGTACCAGTTAGTATTCTAAGCCTTTTGAGTTTGCTGATAATTCCTTGATTTTGTTTCCATTCGATAGTAATGCTACAGTATTTATTTCAGACTTCTTTTTTGAAGGTTTTTCTCATTTTTTTTACAAAATTTACCAATAGCCTCTTGTATTGTTGTTGCTGAGATCTTGAGGGCTTTGAGGTGCTTTTTCAGAATCTTGATTTTATCTCTATGTATAAAGCCACAGACTGTGTTATATAGGCTTTTATCCTATTGTTTAATGTCTTGGATCTATTTCTCTATTACTCTTTTAAC